CTCCGTCCGGGCCCCGGTGGCCAGGCCTCACCTGCCGCAGGCCGCGGAGCCGCCCGCCGCCGAGGGCCGTCCCGGGGCCGGCGCCGCGGGGAGGTGGAGACGCGAGGCGCGGAGGTCCGCGCGCAGGCCTGGACGGCGCGGCCAGGTGATGGTGGGCCCCTGTGTTTCTCCGGAGCAAGGGGGACCCCTAGAGCAGCCTTGCACCTGGGCTGCCCCCGCGAGACGTTTGACATCAGCCCTAGGGAGGTCGGGCAGCCCAGAGCCTGCCTGTCTCCGTTAAGTGCCCTTAGGATGCAGCGATTAAGGAATTAGGCGCTCCCTTCGGGAGGGGCACTGGCTGTGCTGGTGAACCCCGTGCAGTGAAAAACGACAATGATGCTGTCCGAGCAAGCCCAAAAGTGGTTTCCAACCCACGTGCAGGTCACCGTGCTCCAGGCCAAAGATCTGAAGCCAAAAGGCAAAAGTGGCACCAATGACACATACACTATAATTCAGCTGGGCAAGGAAAAGTACTCCACCTCTGTAGCTGAGAAAACCCTTGAACCAGTCTGGAAGGAAGAGGCCTCTTTTGAGCTACCTGGATTGCTAATGCAGGGGAATCCAGAGAAATACATTCTTTTCCTCATAGTTATGCACAGGTCCCTGGTGGGTCTGGATAAGTTTTTAGGGCAGGTGGCAATCAATCTCAATGACATCTTTGAGGACAAACAAAGAAGGAAAACAGAGTAAGTTATGTAATTCATTTTGAATTTTGGGGAGGTTAACTTTATCTTATTTATGGGGTTTCTGTTCTTGGAAATTATTCGTAGACTTGGGGCATTGGTTTTTGGATTGAAATATAACCCAGTTTTAAGCACCATATTTGCATGACTGGAGTAAAAATAGCCCTAGTGATGAAACATTTTTTTAAATAGAGTCATTAATGATCCGTTATCTCATTTCTGTTTGAGGTAAATACTTATTAAATAATTGAATATTGTGCACTAGATTTGGAGTAAATTAGCATTGTTTTAGTATAAGAGGACTGGATTAAAGTGTTGACCAACCAGATCTTAACATACCTATAAAGTTTTATGATCTTTAAACATTACAATTTGCCATGAAATCAGAAAAATTAAATCTGCTAATGTAATGTTTATATATGTTCAACTCTGTAGCTGTCAGAAGATAAATTACCAGATTTAGAACTCACTATTTCATTTCAGCGTTATCAACACAACCTTTTTTTTTTTTTTAGCTTAACCATTTTCAGGGTCAGTACATCTTGATGGGAGTCTATAGCTGTTAAAAGAAAAAAAAAAGTTTTAAAAGTATGTACAAACATCCTTAACTTTGAACACACTAACATTTTCCTTTGAATTTGCAATATATCAGAGCTGTTGTAGTACTTCAGAGTTCTGCAAAGTTAGCGTGTTTAGACCATATGAGATGCTGTAAGATTGGAGGCAATGATGCATTCTTTTGATGAAGTGATTTAATGACATCTTCATGAAAACATGGGCTTCAATGAAAAATCATAATGTAAATTAACACTAGTATATTGTGTCTTAAATTGAAAACGTAGAATGTTTTCAGAGTTAGATATCCTTACACCTTTCTTAAACTTACAATTTTTCTAGAATGAGAGAACATTCAGATTAATGAAATTAATGAGACAAAAATACAGGTTGAGCTTGTAAGAGGACTTCAGATTTCCAAAATAGTTTTGGTGTTTCTTTCAATCATTACTGAATTTTTCTAAACTTTAAAAAACTTTTTTATAGTGATAATTTTCTTGAAGTTAATGTTAATTTCTTACATTTTACAACAATCTCTTATTCTTTCTATGTGTTTCTGCTTGCAGGCTTCCCTTAATTGGAGTTTTTTGTTTTGTGTTAAATTAGTTTGTGTTCAGCTTTGCCTAAGATTTAATATATGTAGAGTAAAAGGGTGGAGAGAGAAGATATACTAGGAATGCAAGAGAAAAAATGGTAAATATTTAAACTGATTAAGGACAGATGACAATATTTTAAAAGGAGAGAAAAAGGGTTTTTTAAAAGTGTGAATTTGAATATGTATCAATGATTTTAATGACAGAGTTATTTGATACTTAAAAAGTGGCATTCTGTTTTCTCCAAGGGGTCTTCATCGAATTTAAAATGAAAAATGGACCAAATAATTTCCTTAGACTTGCCAACATTGGATGTCACTTAGTATATAACATTTCAGGTGTTTTGAATGTAAACTTTTAAATATCTTGCAGCTTCAAATTTCTTACTGTATTTAAAATGCTTTTAATATTAATGAATAATGTTTTTAAGGACTTCTCTGGAGCATGCTTTTTCTAAGTCAAAGTAGGCCCAAAAGTGAATTCAAAGATTCTGATGATGAAATAACCTTTTACAGTTTCATCTTGTTTTACTCCTAGTCTTTGGCAGCATCACAGTTAAAATAAATTTGGTGTGAGCAATACTCTGATATTGTAGTCTCTCCCTACAGACATTCTCCATTGGCTACTATATAAAATTGATTAGAACTTTTTGGGGGAAAATGCTTTTAAATATTATCAACAGAGCTTGTGATGTTATTGCTTTCAAAGTGATTTTCATATGTTATTAAACCCTCAACATTTTCTTACTTTGTGGATAAATGGGGACCATGTATTTGATGAGGTATCTTTATTGGTAATATTTCTAGTTTTTTAATATATTTAATGACTTCCTTTTCTAGCACAGCTGTACATGTGGCACCATAAGACAGACTTGAGCCACCGGTGTATTGCAAGAAAGATATTTAATGTTCTGCACATTGCTAAACCTTGTCAACATATTTCCAAGTGCTTTTTTAGAAATCTGGTATGAGATGAAGACTACAGCTGATTTAGAAGTCCTGTGAAACTGCTGGGTGTGACGGTTTTTACTTTTTGACACTGGAGACATATATTTACAGCTTGTCTTCCAGTTGTGTCATGACAGGCAAAGAAGTGTGACAGCTAAAACTATTATTTTACTTATTTTTATACCTTGAAAATAATTTTTTTTCCTTAAAGGAAAGGGTAAAAAGGGCCTGAGCCAGACCCTGTAAGTGGGCATGGCAAGAGAACGTCTGTCTGTGCCCCTTTAGTGGATGTCTGGGTTGGTTCTGGCATGAGATTTAAAGAAATAATGCAGTGTTTAATAATAGAATGGTAAAATCGTTGATGCTATAATGTAATATCCATTGATTTTTTTTTTACAATAGAAGTAGGTGATGTTGATTTTTTTTTTTTTTTTTTTTTTTTTTAGTGCTCATGAAAAGTAATAACAATCAGAGCCCCTAGAGTTAGATATGACTCAGACACATGCAGATTTTAGGACTTGTGTGTGCTTCTTGTGGTGCACCTGCATCCTGGCCTCTGGCACCCTTACTGCCAATCTTATCCTGTTTCTGACCACACAGCGCCAATTGCTTGGGAATAGTTACCATATGTGTGGTGGTTTTTGAACGTGGACTTGTGCCCACTAAAAATTGAACAGAGGCCATATACAGTTTAAATCTAGTATTCCAGAGGTGGAAAAAATCAGCATTTATCCAGTGAACCCCAAAAGCTGTGTCTTCATCTTATCATTTTGAAGCCTGGGAAAATAAATGCTATCTCCAGAGATTCTTGAAGATTTCATTAAGACTTACCTATTGTATCAGTTTCAATACAAAGCAGCTAAAGTTTGTGATTCCTATGTTTGATATTAGTACATTTGTTAAAGTTCTTTGCAGTTTTTTTGGGTGGGGGAATTAAAATTATACTGTATTTACAGTTTTTATTCTTGCTTTATTCTTCAAAGCTTACCTAGGGCTTTAGATTTCCCTACTTAAAACCAGAACAACACAAAACATGTAAAACATTGTGGCTTGGTTGTTTTAAGAATATGGTTCTAGAAATAAAAATTGAATAAATATTTATGTAGTGCAAGGTCGACTGCCTTCCAGGAGCTTACACTCCAGCAATAGAAAAATTTACATCGCCTTCCTCTTTGGCTCTCATGTCTCCTGATGAAATACTCTGTCCTGCAGTATGTACCACCATGTGGTTAAAACTCTATTAACATATGTGGTTCGTCACATTATTTTTTTGCAGATATTTTTCATCAGCTTTAGATTTTTTTTCTTATTGGCTTTAATCTGACATTGGGACATTATGTATCATTCTTTGTGCCTCAATTTCCTCATCTATGAAATGAGGATGTTAAAGTAGATGATTTATTTGGTATTATTTCTAAAATTCTATGAATTTTGACTACCTTCACCCCCTTCCATTTTAGAGATTATTGATTTATTTTTCTTCTCAGATTTTCTTTCATTTGTTATGTACACAGAAATCCTACATGCCTGCTTTTGTTTGCATGTTTTTGGTATGTTTCTTGCAGTGTATTTACCTATTTTCTTTATAGCCTGAGATGTTACAGAGTATTTATGAGATGCTATCCATCAGGTGTTTCTCCCCCTATTGAAAATGATTCTGTTTTCCAAAACTATGAGTTAATAGCTAGATATATAACCTTGTTTCATTTCCAGGCTTTTTGAGTGCTCAGTTTTGTTCAAGGTTCTCTATTCCACAGAATTTATTCTTATTTCTAGCCCCTGTTTCTTCAGATTTTACCACTTGCCTCATATAAGGGGTTTTCTCAGTTTAGAGTTTCAGGCTGATGCTTTCTGTTGTAAAAAAAAAAAATTGTTAGTTTTGATGCAACCATACTTTGATTGCATTGCTTCAAATTCAGGTAATCAAGAGAATATTTCTCTTGTGTGTTACTAAGATGTAGCTAGTATTTATATTAGGCGACAGTTCTCTGTCCTTGGGAAGACCTGTGAACCACTCTTCCACTTGATGTACTGTAAATGTAATCTTCTCCTGGCATATCCTGTTGGTAACAATGAGAGAAAGAACTAATATAAAATTAGATCAGAGTTCCTTTGTAGCTAAGAGAATTTGTTACACTCGATTAGAGCTATATTTAAATAATAACCTGTCTGCAGGAATGGATATTATGCTTCATTGCTAAGTAATGTGAAAACAGTATAGAAACTCTTTTCTAGGTTTGATTTTGCAGTTCTTGGCTGTTTGCTCTATAGAGTGACCACTTGTGATATCAACAACTAGATAATTTCTCATGGATAAAAATACTGTAAATAATATCAAAATAAACCTTGTTTCTTAAACATCATTTAAATATGGGCAGTAGAATACATTGAAGTGACTAAAAGCATAAGATATGGCTCTATTTATAAAATAATTTTTGAGATTGTCACAGCAGTAATAGCTAGTAAAGCAAGTAGATTCTAATAGAAAGCATTAAATATTTTTTTTTCCTTTGAGAGCTCTTCACAAGATCATTATTTGTCACTTCTTACACTTTACTTATTTTACATATGTTATTCAGGAAATACTTTGATCTATTTTATATGAATCCAAATTACATCATATGCAGTTTTAACAACTAGTAAGCTATATGAAGTGGTCTCCAATGTCAACAAAATTCTTTTTATATTTTTACATAAGTCATATTTTGGGATGGGGCCAAATATTTATTATTTTATTAAAATGTCTTCAGTAATTATTTTATAGTGCCCCAAAATAATTTGTATTAATGAATTCTTTCAAAGTCTCTGCCTCAATGTCTTTTATGTTTAAAAATGTCCTTAGACCATTAGTAGCACTTATCCTATATGGAAACATATTAGCCATCATTGATAAGAATTGTTGATGATGAGTGATTTTCTAATCATGAAAGAAAAGGTTATCTAAAAACTTTTTCAATCTTGTTACAGACCTATTTCTTCAGTATATGCTACATCACAGAAACATTGATCAGTTTTTAAATTAGACAATGAGTAAAACAGAAATACTCTGGCTGACAGATTTTCGTTCAGTGCTTAAATTTCCTTGATACATTTCCTAAAAAGCTATTTGAATATAACAAAGCTCAATATCTTCTCTTTATTATGTATTAAAACCTATTTTTTTCTTCTTTTTTAAGGTGGTTTAGATTAGAATCCAAACAAGGAAAAAGAGCCAAAAATAGGGGTGAGATAAAGGTCAATATTCAATTTATGAGGAACAATATGACGGCAAGTATGTTTGACTTATCAATGAAGGACAAAACAAGATCTCCTTTTGCAAAATTAAAAGATAAGATGAAAGGTAGAAAAAATGATGGAACATTTTCTGATACATCTTCTGCAATCATTCCAAGTACTCACATGCCTGATGCCAATACTGAATTTTCAAGTGGTGAAATACAGATGAAATCCAAACCAAAAAAGCCTTTTCTTCTGGGTCCTCAGCGACTCTCGTCGGCACACTCAATGTCCGATTTATCTGGATCCCATATGTCTTCTGAGAAACTGAAGACTGGCACCATAGGTCAAACACATCTTCTAGGACACCACATAGATTCCTTTGTAGCAGTTCCAGAAAGTGGTAAGTGGCAGCTTCTTTCTAATTGTATCCTCTGTGGTCCAAACTGCCCTTTTTAGTCTTTAAAGTTTAACTTTTAAAGTTAGCAAATAAAATGGCAGCTTCTTGGTAGTGTTTTCTAAATTTAGTCATTTATCAAATATTGATTGATTGATTACCTATTATATCCAAAATTGATAAGTTTATTAAGCCATTTGTATTTATATTATTAGATAATAATAAAGTGAATCCCAGTCTTCTTTCCTGGCCTGACTGCTTTTTTTTTTTTTAACTGCTGTTTTTTCTGTCTCAAAAGCCTGAGCATAAATGAATATTCCATTTCATCATAAAATCCCTAGAAAAAAACTTTTATGTTCAGAAGTAAGAAAATAAGTTTAATGCTAATGATGGAAAAAAGTCTTTGAGAATTTTAAGCATTATCGTGCCAAGCAGAACTTCTAGTTTTAGCATTATAGTTTAAGTGATTGTGAGTCGAATAAATTACTAATTATCTAGCAATACACTAATTGTTATTAGCCTAAATACTTCAGAGTGACACACCTTAGATTTTAAGATTACTTTCTTTGATTATTTTGAAGATTAATACCTTTAAATAGCTAATTGCTCTCATTCTAAAAACAGCAGAATGCATACAGAATGTGTCAAGTAGTGTGATGTAATGTGTCACTGATTATGTGCTAACTACAAAATTGTAGGAAGTCTCAAATCTCCACACAGAAGAACATTAAGCTTTGATACTTCCAAAATGAACCAACCTGTCAGCATTGTGGATGAAGGTGAATTGTCTTTCGGAAGACAAAATGACCCATTTACAAATGTGACTGCTTCATTACCCCAAAAATTTGCAACACTGCCAAGAAAGAAAAATCCATTTGAAGAAAGCAGTGAATCATGGGACAGCAGCATAAATTTATTTTCAAAATCAGTTGAAGTAAGAAAGGAAAATAAAAGAGAGAAAAGGGAGAAAGTGAGCCTGTTTGAAAGAGTGACTGGAAAAAAAGATAGCAGAAGATCTGATAAACTTAACAATGGGGGTTCTGATAGCCCTTGTGACTTGAAATCACCTAATGCATTTAGTGAAAATCGTCAGGACTATTTTGATTATGAGTCAACTAATCCATTTACAGCAAAATTCAGGGCTTCAAATATAATTCCGTCTTCAAGGTAAGCTCAATATGGGGGAAATTATGCTATTTGGGGAAATCTTGTATTTGAAAGTGTCAAGTATTTGAATATGTGACCATTTTAAGTTCTTTTATTGTATTTGAAAACATTTCTTAATTTTTATAATTAATTACAAGAGCCAATGTTGCATACATCTTTGGAATTGAAATTTTTATCTTAGAAAGGAAAAAATTCAGCTGGGCTCGGTGGCTCAGTCTGTAATCCCGCGCCTTTGGGAGGCTGAGGTGAGTGGATTGCCTGAGCCCACGAGTTTGAGACCCGCCTGGGCAGCGAGACCTCATCTCTGCAATAAATCAAAAAATCAGCCGGGTGTGGTAGCGCATGCCTGTAATTCCGGCTACTTGGAAGGCTGAGGTGGAAGGATCACCGGAGCCCAGCAGGTTGAGGCTGCGGTGGCCAGGAGCGGCCACTGCACTCCAGTCTGGGCGACAGAGTGAGACTCCAACTCAAAAAACAAAAACAAAAACAAGAAAACAAAAAAAAGAAAGGAAAAAATTCTTATTCTTATTTCCGACGCTAGTCTACGTCTACTTATGTGAGCCAGAAACTCACTGAAACTTATGAAAAAAACAACATGACTTTTGATGAGACATGGTGAGAGTGAATCACCAGTGGGTGTTAATTCAAGACATAAATTTAGGTGATGTGTTACTAGATATTTCCTGGGGATTAGTTCATGGGCTATCTGGGGAGGACCAGGAGCAGCCCATTGGCTATTTAAGAAATACTGGCTTTAAGTATTAATGATTTTCATAATAGATGTTAACTATCCTTTTTAAATGACTTTTTATTTGTGAATGTTTGTTTTTTGGAATTCAGTGACCTATAAGTACTATAAATACACCATGGTACTATAAATTGGTACTATAAATACATCAAGGGGATCTATATGATGATTTATAGTCACAGAAATAAGTATTCATGATAATACTTTTCAAACTCTGAATTCTCAGTTATATATATTATGGTACTTTTCTTATTTCTTAGTAGAAGTTGGAACTACTGATTATGGATTCTACAGAAGCAAACAGTGGAATAGCTGATTAAGGAAACCTCAAGCAAAGAATAAGATGAGTTTATTGAAATCTTAAGTGTAGTCAGCTTTCTGTATCTGCAGGTTCTGCATTTTTTTGATTCAACCATCTATAGATTGAAAATATTTAAAAAAAAGCAGTACAACAATAAAAATATGAATTAAGAAACAATAGGTGCAAATACAACATTTTATATAAGGAATTTTGTTATCTGTGGGGGGTCCTGAAACCAGTCCCCTGTGGATACCAAGGTATGACTGTAATTATCTTGAAAGAACATGGTAGATTGCTTGCCATGTAACAGTTTTTCCTCAAAGCAGTAATGTAGACATGGATGGGAGTCCCAGCTTATAAATGTTATGACCTTTATAAACCTCAGCATCTCCATCTTTAGAATAAGAAAAATAATCCTACTTGGTAGGAGTCAGTGAGGATAATTGATAAAAAAAAAGTATATAGTACAAAGTCGGTTTCCAAATAAGGAACCCATAAATGATGACTGCTATTATGTTTCTGTATTGTCATATTTTATTCAAAAAACAGTGCTTTGTCCCACTATAAACAGAAAATATAGTATTAACAAGTATCTTTTTAGGCTATGCTTTCCCACCTCTTTCTTATATATCATATATATCTTATATAACATGTTAAAAAACTTGCATTTAAAATGTTCAAAGAGAAGTGTGCATTTCTTTTGTTTTCTATTATCAATAAATATTTACTGTGATTTTAGCCAGTATTGTTCAGTTTTGTTTATAGACTATACTTTAGAGAAATACATCTGTATCATATGGTATCAATACTTTATTGAAGAGTTCGCAGTTTTGATATGCTATTCTAAAGTATTTTGGTATTTTACATAGTGTACTTCACATATTGCATTAAATCTCAAAGTATGGGGGTAAACAGAAATATATCTGCTTTCTTCCCTTTCACTGAACTTTTTTCCAGAAGTTGTTAGAAACAACTGTCTGAGATAACTTGGAGATTGGGCAATTTAGCTAATTTTAGAGTCAAAGAAAAGCAAGAAAATGGGAAATGGTAGGAAAATGTTTTGTGATTATGGCAGCATATGGAACAATAAGTACCCTTAAATCTTTAATTACCCTATACTTGGACTGTTTACATGAACTGGAATGGATTTTAAAAGTAGTGGCATTTTATAGATTGAGGTTTTGTTTTCAGTTACTTTATTATTAATGACCGTTTCTATCAGAATTAGAGTTGTTTCATGATATATATATAAAATAATTGCAAGTATGTAAAAAAGTAGTTTTTTTTTAAGTTTTACGACTTTTTCTTCATATTTATGGGATGCCAGATGTGAGGACAGAACATTTGTAGATTCTTAGAAAGCTACTCTTTTTTGTGTTACAAACCATCTTTCTGGTAAGTGTAAAACATCTGTAAGAAAGAGATATCGCTAGTTAATAGTATGAAAAAGAAGGATTGAGTATAAATAGACCTAGGAAGAGAGTGCAGTTCACATTTTTGGGAAGCACCTTTACCTTGAATGGAATTTGGTAGGATGGTGTCAAGGTAGCATCGTCTTTATGTAATGGTATATTATTTATCTTTCCATTGTTATCCCTCAGTTTTCTGGGACATTTTAAATTTCTCTCATTAACATCCAAACTAAATGCACTTTTGAAGCTATAGACTCACAACTCTAGGACATGTGCTAACATTTTTTTTTTTCAGGAGTGCTAAAGAGATCTATTTAGAGAAAGTTTCCTGGACTCTTGTAACCAGTGTTTTTGAGAATGCTGAACAAAGTTCAGGGCAAAATGCATAGCTATGGAATTGGGTTTTTATCTTGGTGAGTGAACTGACTCATTTGTGATTGCAGGTATATAGGAACTGTATTGTTACCTTCTGAGTAAATAATATGTATGATTAAAACTGCAGAATTTTCTTTATGCCAAAAATTTTTGAATGTACTAAGGAACACCTTTCTTAAAGTTAGAGGTTTTAGTCCCTAGTGTTAGTGAAGTCCACCTGAAGAAATCACTTGGGAAATCACAGAAGATACTCCATTTTGCTTGTATTTCTTGGAATAGGTTGCATCGTTTTACATAAAACTGATAAATATTGGGTTACTTCAACAAAGGGTAGGGCTCTTTGAAACACTTTTCCCCAAAGTTACTGATTTGCACCTCACATGCTCCCACTTCTTTTTCCGACTCTTCTAGGGAGAGGTGCTTGTTCCCTGTGCCGCAGAGTTTTCTTACATAAGTCTTTTATGGGCATGGCATTCTTCACTAATAGCCTAGTCATTTCCTCTCCTGCTACCATGCCCAGTTTGAGGGCAGGGCCTGCATTTCTTTCGTCTTTCTTACCTTAATCTCCAGCATGATGCTTGGTAGATAGTAGGTGTTAGAAATTTTGAATAAATGCACGCAGTATTGCATTATAGTTTCCTAAAATGCTACTTTCTTTTTATTAGTCGCCTATTTCCTGCCTAGTGTACGCTGTGAAGCTCTTTCTGATAGACTGAAAACAGATTCATAAAGGCAAATGTATGCATTTTTACATACGAAACACTTAAAAACCTATTTTAAAGGATGACTAGCATTTAATATTTAATCTAAACAGCACATTCTGGAATTCATTAAGAACTCTGGATTGGTGTGGGTTATCAGCTGTAATAAACAACCCCAGATCTCAGTGGCGTATTGCTCACTTTTCACATAGCAGTTCACTGAAATGGGAATGGGAGACATGGGTGCTTTTCTCTGTGCCTTTATTCAGCTCTGCAATCTCTCAGGATCCAGGCTTCTTCCTTCTTGTAGTGCCACCATTTAACATTTGTCTTCAAGATCGGTGCAGCAGAGGAGTAAAGGGGAGGATGACAGGAGGGTCATTTCTGTGTGGTAGGCCCAGCATCGTGTGTCCCAGCATCGTGTGTGCTACTTCCATGTACATCCCATTGGCCATAGCTCAGCCATGTCCTCACCTCAGTGCAATCAGTGAACAGCTGTGGTTTAGCTGTGTACCCAGGGGAAGCTGAACTGAGTATAGTGAGTATACAGCGTTGTGCATGCTGTTGATGCCAGATCAGCTTGTTACTAAGAAGTCGGGATGCTGTCCAGCACTGGCATGCTGTAAACTCCTGCTACATGTAAACAGTGAGTATAGCTGGAATTATTGTAATTTTTCAGGAAAATCCGTTTATTATTATTATTTATTTTTTGAGTTGGAGTCTCACTCTGTTGCTCAGGCTGGAGTGCAGTGATATGCTCACGGCCACCCCAGCGTTGACCTGCTGGGCTCGGGTGATCCTTCTGCCTTAGCCTTCCAAGTAGCCCTGACTACAGGCATGCCCTACCACACCTGGCTAATTTTTTATTTATTGTGGAGACGAGTTCTCGCCAAGTTGCCTGGGCTGGTCTTGAATCTGTGGGCTCAGACAACCCACTCACCTCAGCTTCCCAGAGTGATGGAATTACAGGCTGATCCACCAAGCCTGATCCGCCAAGCCTTATTATTTGTATCGAGTTGTTTGTGTTTTAAAATTGCTGCTACTCTTGCTTTCTAAATATAAATCATAGATAGTTTAGTATCATCAGCATCAAATAATTTCTTCATCATTATTTATCAAATGAATGGTCAACTAGTTTGTCGTATGGTTTACCCCACGATTTGTAAAGTAGTGCTTTTCTGTATTAGCAGTATATCATTTTCTAAAAATAAATATTGTTATGCCATTATAAATAATTAATAAATGACAAATGTAGAAATAATTTTACAAATTATTATTATATTTATTTGGGGTTTTTTGGGGGGGGTAATATGGTCATCTTTAATAGTTTGATTCTTCCAATCCATGAGCATGGGATGTTTCTCCATTTGTTTGTGTCCTCTGCAGTTTCTTTAATCAAAGTTTTGTAGTTCTCCTTGTAGAGATCTTTTACCTCCTTGGTTGAATATATTCCTAGGTATTTT